CTGGTACGTGAGTCTGACGCAGAATGACCGCCCTAGGCTAACTCGAATACTGACTTGAAGACGAGATCTGGCAACGGTGGATTATCGGCGATTTGCGACCACTTGACTTCTACATGGCATGGAGTCAGCTGGTTTCCGATTTCGTAGAGACCGGGGCAGCGGAAATCCACGGTGGCGATATCAGTGCGAGACGATCGGCGAGAAACTAAAATGTAGTTAATTTAGGAACTATATATGATAACTATAAATATACATTAGCCAAAATCACAAGATCTCAGAGCACATGGTGGTGCATTCCGTACTAGACTTGTTCAGTGGTGGCCCTTCTCCCACGTTTGGCTCCTCTTCTCTTTTAACTTACCACCGGGGAGTCATCTATTGAGGCCGGTACCTTCACTGTATGATCGAACGGAACCTGTATCGGCTCCTTATCCGTTCCGATTTCCGTAACCGTGGCTGAATTAGACGTAGCAGCGATGACCCTATAAGGTCCACTCCACGGTACGATCAACTTGGGGTGCTTCGATGCCCCTTTTTCCGTGGGTACGTGAACGTACACACGATCCCCTGCCTTGAACTTAGTCGACTTCTCAGTCTTCCAGTGGCGATCATACCATTCTTTGGCCGAGCTCGGCACTTCTAGCCTTGTTCGCCGAGACAATCCCGTGCAAGCTTCAATCCACTCAAGGTCATCGGTCTTGTTCTGATCATATTCTAGCATATACGCCGACAGTTGATCTCGCGGAATCACCTCTGACGGGTAGCGTGGATCGTGTCCATATACAAAAAAGTGGGGCTCTCCCCTGTCGCCGAATGGGGCGAGGCATTATATGCGTACACCACCGTAGGCAGGCAGCAGTATCTTGTCCCATTCCGTGGGTACCACTGTCTTCTTCCGCAACATGGCCACAATCGTGCCATTTGCTCACTCATTTAGCCCATTTTTACGGGGACAACAGCCCTTCGTGAACCATTGCTTAATGCCCATGATCATATGACATATCAACATCACGGAAATTTCGAATTCTGTGCCACGGTCCGACAAGAGCGCCTCTGGCATCGTCCAAAACCACATATCCCTTGACAGAATATCACTTCAGCAATAGTCTCAGCACGTTTGTCCGCTACAGGATATGCTCCTAAGTACTTTGTAAAGTGATCGATTACTGTGACGATATAACGATTGCCTCTAGTGGTTATTCCCATTTCTAGCAGGTCCACGCCCACTATCTCGAATGGCCTTGTCGTCACAATCGGTTTTAAGGGGGGCATCTGTCCAGCAGTTTTGTTTGAAAGAAAGCAGTGTTGGCACTCGCGCGTCCATTTTACGATATTCTGACGCACTCCAGGCCAGAAAGACGTGCCTCCTCAGCAGCCGAAATAGCGTTCGTGCGCCAAAATTGCCTGCCATCGTGCCCTGAAGAGCTTCTAGAAACAACTCATGCCGCTTGGAAGTGGGAATCACATCCCTCAATCGTTCGTCCGGTCCGATCAGCTTTAACCTGCCACCTTCGACGACGAAGTCCGCTGAAGAGAGGTGTTTATCATGTCGCGAGCTGAATCCGCTCAATCCGCGCATCGACCGCCTCTCCTGCCGCTATATACCACTGACTCATACACACTACTGAACCGTTTCAATTCTCAATAAATTCCGATCCGATAACAACTCGGTGAACTTCGCGATACCCTGCTGCCGTTATGTTCGAGGTTCACTTGCAGTAATACGCAACAAATATAGGTTCTTTACTCAAACGATATTCTTCGACTAT